ATTTTGGGCACCGGCATCTTTTTTTTTTTAAACTTGTTTGGACATGGGTGATTTGCAAGACCAACATCCCCCAGTTTTCATCCCTTTCGGGCCCCCCCCCCCCCCTAACGGCAAAAAACGATGACCGCGATACTTTCACGCATATCCAGCGCCGACATTTCAGCTGCTCCGGGCGATCGCAGAAAGCCCGGTGGCGCCGCCCTCCGGCAGCACGCCGCCCAAGCCCAACAACATTTTCAGCCAGGCCACAACCAGCAGCAGCGCCAATGGGAAGAAGAAAATGTCGTCAACTTCGCCGGGCGCACGCGGTGACGAAGGGTTGGCGAGATGGCTGGGACGCGAGGAGGGGAGAGCTAAGACTCCGAGAACAGGTGGCGGGGAGGGCGTGGGCAAGGGCGCTCGTAAGACAACGACGATTTTGAACATGGATTCACCCCCCGGCAGGGGTACGTACGGGGCGGCGACTGCTTCCCCCGTCGTGAGCCGCAAGCGCCCGCGGTCCTCGCCGCCGGGGTCCGGTAACGCCCACGTTTCTCCTGGAAACCCGTTCGAGACGTACGGGCACAACTGCCGTCCTCGTCGGCCGCCGCCGCCGCCGCCGTCGCCGTCCTCGCGTCTCGGTGTCGACAGCGGGTCGCCGCCGCCGATGGAGGTGGCACCTGTTGGCGCCGGCAGTGATGATGACGACAGCGACAGTAACAATGCCGGTGCGTCGGGGCAAACGGAGGTCGGGAGTCAAGACCCTCCTCCTGGTGGTGGTGGTGGTGGTGGTGGGGCTTCCGCCCAAGCGGAGGCCTCGCCGCGCCGAGTTGCAGCCGGCGGTGCGGGGGACGACCTGTCGCAGAGCGGGGACGATGACAGCGACTTCGCCGTCACCCTCACGCCCTGTCGGCGAGGTACGCGCGGCGGTGGCGGCAGCGGTGGTACCGACCGCAGCGGCAGACCATCACCGCATCACGGGGGTGGGAGCGTGTGCTCCCCTTTCGTGCTGGTCGATCTGAGCCAGGATGCCGAGCAGGAGGGTTCTGCTGCTGCTGCTGTTGCTGTTGCGAGGGTTTCGGGCAGAACTAGAGGCGGCGGTGGAGGGGGAGGGGGAGGGAGAGGAGGAGATGTAGAAGGAGGAGGTGTAGAAGAAGGAGAAAGAGGAGGAGGGGGAGGAGGAGGAGGAACGCCGGGCCGCAACACGGAGGTCCTACCGGGTGCATTGCCCGAAGGAGAGGCTGCAGGGGAGGGCGATGACGCTCCGTCCCCGGCACTATCGTCCTATTGTCTGAGTCCTGCTGGCGACAGAGGCTCAGACACGGGGCAGGGCCGGGGCGGCAGCGAGGGAGTGGGGGGCGGGGACCGAGGCGGCGAGGAGCTGCTGCAGCTGAAAGCGGCGAAAAGGCTGTATTTTCTGGTGAGCGGAAACACGGGCAGGGTGCACGTGTACAAGAAGGTCGGGGGCGACGACGAAGACGGGAAAGGTTCCGGAGGCGGCGGCGTCGGTGTCGAGGACGACGAGGAGGAGGCAAGGCCGCAACACTGCAGGTCCGTGTACGGATGTGTTGATCGCCCTCAGGCGAACGAGTTGTAGGAGGTCGTGGGTGCCAGTCCAAGCCCCCAAGTCAGTTCGTTGCAGGAGGTAATTGGAGCCATTCCCCACACCACTGCCCCCTGAAAACCGCTTAGATAGTCCTGGTTCCTTATCGTCCGAAGACGGTATTCCAAAATGGCGTTCTGTAGTGAGTTGGCCGGCAGGCGGGCGTGTTTTTGGCACTTTTCGTTACGAGCGTTCACGAGCTCTTTGTGGAACGCATGCCGATCTGTGACCCGCCCCGTTTGTGGGATGGTATAATTGCCGGACCCTGGTGTTGTGTGCCTAACGACGTAGACAGTGGTTATTTGAACCTCGTTCCGATGCGGAACTTTTCTTACTTTCGTCCTCTGTTGGGTTTCGTTCTCCTTCTTCGAGGCGAGCAGACTGCTCCACTCTTTGACATTGCTCCTCCTCTCGCTGCCTCTCCTCGCTGCCGCCGTACCTCTCTGCTCGTTGTTGCTGTTTCTCCTGCTGCTGCTCCTGCCGCCGTCCCGCCGCCGCCGCCGCTGCTACTGGTACTACTGCTCCTGCTGCCGGTACTGCTGCTGCCGCTGCTGCTGCTGCTGCTGCTTCTGCCGCGGCCGCCGCCACCGCTACAACGCGGCGCAGGTGCAACTTCCGTCCAGAAGACCTTGACCGACTCTTCGAGGCCTCTAAGGAGGCGTTGCTGTTGTCCACGGCGACGACCACAGGACCGTCAACGCCGGCATCGAGGAGGCGGGCCGCAGAAGCGTGCGAGGTGGGTGCCTAGCCTTAGAGCTCTTCCTCTGGGCGGGTGGGCGCTTGTGAATGACGAGAGTTCCGAATGAGGCGGAGAGATTGCACCCCCTCCAGACCGACTTTCGGAGCTCTATTTGCTCCACAACCAAGGGGGTACAGAAAGATACCGATTTTGCGTGGATGGAAAACCCTCGATGGGATGTTTCTAAAGCCACCATTTGCGGTGTTGGCATATCCGTGGTTGTGGAGCAATCCAGCTTTGGAAATTGGTCTAGGGGGGTGCCATCTCTTCGCCTCTTACGGTAGTTGGGGGATGCTGTTTCTCCTGTCGGTGGAGACCCCCAAGTCGCGTCAACGCAAGACCGATCGACCGCAAGATATAGGTAGGAGTCGGTCTTGCGGAGGTCCTCTATCTAGGAATCGTGCTTGCGGACCCTGTTGATCACATGCCCGATTCTGGCAATTGTTGGTTGTGTGCGCGTACGGCTAGAGTCTTCCATAACCCCATCCCCTAGCAGGACTACGTGTTGAGGTATAAAACCAACACGCGCCCTGGGAATCAAGGGTCTCTCTTGTTCTTTGTGTGGCGGTTTGGCATGTGCATGTGTGGTTTCCCGTGCCCTCTTTCGTGGGCGCCATTCTATGCGCCTTTCGGTATATCTTTGACGCACCAGTCAGGGTCACGCGGCAGGAAGGAAATCAATATACACTAGGTACGAGGGCAATAATCGAGCGTTTCCCCGGTAGCTGGTTATCTTTTCAATAGCAGTTTCTCCAGTCGTGTGTCGGTTTCAACCGTATGCATAGCTTTTTCTTCGGGTGCCTCTGCGGATGCTGAAGCGGGCGCTCTGCCGAAGCGTATTCGTTGCGCTTGAATGGGGTATGCCGGGGAGGTGGCGTGTGCGGTGTTTGTGCGCCATGTCCTCCCGCACCATCCTCTCATCGCAAATTGTGTTTCTAAGTGGCTACTGCTCCGCTGTCGAACTGGCTGATGATGGCCTACGCAGTTATTTTTCGCACTGTTTCAAGTTCCCCGCAGCCGTGAATTGCGCCTGCTCGTCTTCGGCGCTCAAATCTAGCTAGCTGCACGGAAAAAACACACTTCCCCGGACGCCATCTTGAAGCTGTGTCACTGCTGTGCACGGCGCTGGTTAATTCAAGCCGTATGCACGCCGCGTGTTTTGTTCTACTGCTTACTTGGTCACCTTGATCCTGGTTAACCCTGACGTTCATCGGACCCCTGCCTTGTGGGACCCTCTGCTTAGGTACCTGCGATCAAGTTTTCGCTCGACTACTTGGCGAGGAACACAAGGTTCCTCGTCGCCGTTCCGTGTTCGCCGTACAGCAGCGGCTGCGGTTCACAAGATATCATTTTATGAGAAAGGACGAATTCAGGAGTATCAGTGGCGTGTCCAGGCCATAGGAAATGCATGTACTCCGCATTTCACAAGTACGGTTTTAGGAGGGAACCGGATACAAGAGAGCGATTGTTGCTTGTCCCGCCCCTCTCTTACACCTGTAGCCGTTTTACATGTGCTGCATGTTTCCTACCGCTTGTCGGCTGAACGGTAGGCTGCGGCCAGGGAGGCTCTTTCGACGCTGCCGAAGCTCTTGTGGTCTGCTCCGGCTCTCAGGGTGGGTGACGCCGTATGCGAGGGGAGGTTGTATTCGGTCTTCTTCGCGATGCATGCAACTGTTCGAGCTTTGGAAGTACGCCCCCCCCCTCCCCCCTCCCCCCTGTCTCTCCTTCTCTCTCTCTCTCCGGTGGTCTCACACCTGTTCGTCCTCATGTCTCGGGTGTTGATTGGCTCACTGGCGGCATGATGTCGCCCTGCCGGCATGTGCACACTTTCCTACCTACCCTTGGTTTTAGCGTTGTGTCTCGTACGATCATTGACGTGCGGATTAAAACAGCAGTGTAAATCCACACCTCCTAACAACTGTTGAGATGTCTTGGCCGCAGAACTAGTCTGGGTTTCACAGCTGTTTGTCGTGTCAGTAGGGATTCATCATTTTATGCCGTGCCATAGCTGCAACTTCCGTCCTTCGTGGTGAATGCCTCTCATTTGCTTTGACGCTGTCGATGTGGGCGGCCTCTTGGATGCCTTCTCATTATCACACTTTTACCCGTGGTCGTTTGCGTAGCCATCATGTCCTATTGGTTCATGCATTTGTTCGGTCTTGAGTTGTCTCCACTGCATTCCACGCGTTGTCATGGTGCGAGCCGACCCCGCATCCCCACAATTATCTCCTTGTGACTTGTTCAACACGTCCAGCCTGAGGAGGCAAGGCCTGCAGGCCTACTCGCACGCTCTCGTGTTGGTGGTCTGCCGTGAATCTGTACCACACTCCTGTGTTGGAAAGTCCTCCCGCCACCTTCCCTCGCCGCCATTTCCAGTCACTCTTGTACTCGCGCTTGCTTAAGTCACTGCGTGTCGCGTGCCTTCTATCACCAAAAATAAAATCAGAGCACGGTGTTCCTCTGAGATATTGAACACGAGGTCCTTCGGGGGAAAACCACTCTCTCTAAGCGCGTAGTCACAAACGCTGCTGTTCCAGGTAGCGCGGGAGTTCGTGCAGGAGTGGAGGGCGCTGTCCTCCAGGAAACGGCCGCTGCTCAAGGGGACGCCTTGCCGCCCTCCCCTCGCAGACGAGCTGTCCAGGGTCACCCCAGCACTGACTGGCAGGTGAACGGGGAAGGGGACATGATCCCGCCGACAACGTATTAGTATCTAGAGCAGATGCCCCCCAGGGGGTGCCGTGACTGTAAGTGTAGAATAACCCGATTCCCTCCCAGGGGGAAGGGGAAATACATGGTTCCGCACAACGTATTTTTCAGCCCGGAGGGTGTGTGTGTTGTTTCTGCCCAGGTTGTCGTCCGCCTTTGCAAGGCCCAAGGGGAAATATCCTCGTTTTTGGTCAGAGAACCACTCTAGGGAAAGTCCGCCCGCCCGGCGCCTGCCTAGGAGGTCTGCCCCCAAGTCCTCGCGGTAAAAGGCATCATCCGCAACTGTTAACCTTGCCGTGCTGGCTGACTTTGTTCTTCGCCACCCCCCCGCGCTGGATGCGAGGTCAATGGTCTAACGACTACGGTACGATGCAGCACGGCTACGAGGATACCTCCCCCTACAGCAAGCGATTATTGCAGGGATGCGAGGCTCACGGTCTAACGGCTACAGCATGCGTTTACATGAGTGACCCCCCCCCCCGCGCCCCCCCCCTTACAGCAAGCGGCGGTACGCTGGCACGGTCGGGGGCCCGTCAAAGTCGGGTGGTCCTGCTGGTGGCGGCGAGGGCGGCGGAAGCGCCGCCGGCGGCGAAGTAAGCGGCGGCGCAAGCGGTGGTGGCAACGGCGGTGGTGGCGGGAGTGGTAACGCCGGCTCTTCTGCGGCCAGAAGCGGCGGCATCGCCTCGGATAAGGTGCGTCTACGTTGGCCGTTTCGCTGTCGGGCACCGGTGTCTGGGTGCTTGTTTTCTGTCTTTATTGTCTATGGCGCCCAGGAGATGATCAATGAAAAAACGCCAGTCTTCTTTGCTGCCCAATTTTTGTGAAAACGGATACCTAGCATCACCTTTTGGGCCACGACGCGAAACGATTTTACTTCCGCGTGCTGGTGGTTTTGTGTATGCGCGCAATATTTCTGGTGTTGCATGTGCTGGAGGACTGGTTGCGGTGGTGAACGCTATGCTGTATCTGCCTTCTGCTGCATCGACATGACACGTGTTGTCACACACAACTGATGTTTATTGGAGTGTTGTGCTGATGCAATGTTTCATCTGAGCGTGGCTGCGAGTTCTTCGCTCTCACAGCGATAGGCTGGTCTTCCTCTTTTCGTGTTAGGAACACAGCAGTGCAGAGAAAAAGCTCTTTTCTTACCACACAGGCCAAGTTTGCCGTCCCCACCAGGAGCTGGCGAACGAATGACCCTATGGAGTAAATCGAACTGCTGTGCTGTGTCGTGTGTATGCGCGCGTGTGTGTTGCGTTGGCGGCTAGGAACTTAGTCGAACTGCTGCACTGTGTTGTGCATGTGCGCGCCTCGCGCCGTGTCAGGTGATGTGCCTCTACTGTGACGAGGAGGCTGCGAGCGAGCAAGGCCCGCCTGTACACAGAAGGGATCGCTACTGCAGCGTGGATTGCATGGAGGTAGGATTCAGTGTGTGTAGCATGACGCGCTGGAAGGCAGCAACATTGATCTGCCGTTGCGAAAACAAACAGAAATATGGCCTCGGACGGACACGTGGGTGACCAGCAGCAGCAGCAGCAGCAGCAGCAGCAGCAACAACAACAGCAAACAGCAGAAGCAGCGACAGCAGCTGCAGCAGCTACAACATTATTTTCCTCGGTTGATATGATCCGTAGCTCCCACTCGGAGGTCATTCTTCCTCGCGAACCCCTCATACTTCCCGTACCACCAGTGAACCCACATGCCGGGACGTTTCGCAACCTCACGACAGCAGTAAATGATCCCTTGTATACGAGCGCAGAAGTTATGCCGCCTGCCGCGTATATGGTCGGTGCATCGCGCGACACTAGATGGAATATGCAAATTGCCATACATCGCATGCTCGGGGTGCTCAGAGAAAAAAAAACGCTGGCATTCTCACTCGGCACCATGCGGGCCCTTACTACGCTGGAATTCGGGAATTATTTCTCGGGCTGCGGACCACTTTGTGTTGCGCTCTTCGCCTGTCTCGCGAAGCGCGAGGCGGTGTGTGGGTTTTTTAGGGAACGCCTCTGCTGCTTGCTCGCCGCCTGCTGCGAGAGACGAGCAGTGTTGAAGGGCAGCCGTTGCTGTGCTGCGCTAACAAATGACGGAGGGCAGTGTGTACTGCTGCAGCCCGTCTGAGAGGATTAGGGTTCTTTTTATCCTACCGTAGCAGTTACTCCGATAGGCCTAAAAGGCGGGCAGGTAGGCGCGAAAGGTACCTTGCCAACGAGCTCAGACTGTGTTGTTCTGCGGCATGAGCTGCGCGGCTCACCTGACTATGAATAATCCTTGCGGGAGTCTGTGCGAGGGCACCGATGATGTCGACGACAAGGGATAAGTTTTTGTTCGTAAGCGGGGGTGATGTCGATGGCGAAATAGCGTCGCCGTGTGCACAGCAGCATCCCCCACCAACAACACGGTCACGCACACCCGACATCGCGTCGATGCGGCACTCATCGCCCAGGCGCACGGGACTCGAACAAGCAACACCTCCCTCCGAAGGCTGGTGTTCGAGAGAGACCACGGCGTGTGCTCGGGGGAGGGGTGCGGGCGAGACTGCTTCGCCCTCGTGTCCAGGCTCAAGGCCGTGCAACACCGGCAGGTGAGCTCCCCTACCTGTACCGCGTGAGCCTTGATGCATGGCTATGCTGCGTTGACTTACATGGGGCCTGCTGTCGTAGGTTGTGGGTGCTGCTTGGGGGTAGCGCCAAGAACTGAGCGAATTCTTGGAAAGTTGAAGGCAGGAAATGGGCGTCCATCGTCCTGGGAGGTGGCTTGGTGTTCATCAACGTTTTTTTGTCCGTTTTTCCCCTTGAGGTTTCGCGGAGGCTCACCCTGCTTGTCGTCCCACTGTTGAGTCGAGGAACGTAGTTTTTTGTCCCAGCGGTCAGCTGGTCGTGGCAGCGCGGTGACCTTGAGCTTGTCGTTTTACTCCGCTGTTCCCACGGCCTATCGGTCAGTGTAGCGCGGCTCCAATATCACGACACGCACCGATTACGTATACCGTATCAAGTGCTTTGCTCTGTTGGACGGGACATGGTGCTTGCTCGTTTTTACGGAACATGGTTGCTTGCTGGTATTGTTTTGGAAGATGTGCTTGTTCTTTGTCGCGAAACGTGGCGCTTGCTCTTTTTCGCGGAACGTGGTAGTACTTGCCCTTTTTCCACGGAAACAGCAGTGCTTGCTTTTGGTTCACGGAACGTGGTGCTCGGTGGCAGTTTCGCGCTCATCCGTCCTCGGACGGCTTGGTGCCGCTGACCAGACCAGACCTGACTCGACCCTCACCTTTGTGGGGCATTTCTTCCCCCTTCGGCGTTTGCCGTCGTCGTGGTCGCCGCTTCCCTCTCAGAAACGGCGGGATATTTTGATGGGAGCGGACCCTCGGTTCGGAGACCAGCGACACCTCTCGCTGAGGGAGAGGCTCGTGCGGGAACCGAAAGGAGGTTACGCCTGGAACGCTGACCACGTCACCGCGGTATATCAGGTGCGTGAGTGAGTTGTGGTTGTGTGGTGTTTTTTTAATTTTCGTTGCTGCTGGTGGTGTTTTCTCATCGGGTTCAGTGGATGCAAAGAAGTAATAGGGCAGGCCACGGTTATGTCTAAACGCTTCATGAACTTCATAGCGCCGAGACTCGTGAGCCTGTCAGACGATTTGCCTTTCTCTTGCTTTGGTTGGTATGTAGCGCACGAACGAGAGTTGCAGTTCCTTTCTTATTTGGCGCCGGGTGCTGTGTCGAGGTAACTAGACCGTGCTCCACAAATGTTCTCGAATAACGTGTCCTGGGACCCACAAAACGCTGGCCCCAGCTACCCAGAGATGGCATGGTGCGGCGTACACGCATCCTGCTTAGGCGCGAAGCACCACCATCGCCGCTACGAGTGCTGCCATCCCGTTTGTTCTCGATGCTGCCCTCCGTACCGCGCTTGTTTTGCTCATATGCTCTCGGTATTAGTAGTCAGCTTCTCCCGTGTAGTTTTGGACGCGCTGCTCCTTGTTTTGGTGCGTGCCGACGTACATGGACTATGAAGCTTTCTCCGTTGCTCCTGGCGACAGGACGCGATCTGCATCACGCTTTCGCGGTGTGTCGATGTTTCGACCAGAGAACCGAAGCCGTGTCCTCATTGTGCTGTTGCTCCGCCCCCTCCCCCCTCCCCATTATTTTTGTTCTCACCCCCCCCCCCTCCCCTCCTATTTGTGATGCCAGGGCGGGGGAGAATGCGGGGTCGACAACCTCCGGACGCTGTGCGTACTGTGCCACTCGGAGGTTACGCGGGTTCAGACCACGGAGCGGGCCGCAACCAGGAGGATGGAGAAGGAGAACAGGCGCCGGTGGGTGCCTTTTTTTTTTCTGCCAGGATTATTCTTTACTGTGCATGCCACGATGATGACGTAGCATGTATTCTGTACGCCGGCAAGGTACGGATGTAGCGCGGCCTCTTGTGAGCGCTTAGGTTGTGCCCGCGGCGTTTTTCGCCCGGAAGTTCTTACGCGGACCAAATGACATGTGTATGCTGTAACTGGTCTCTACCTCGACACGGTCGACCCTCGATCTCCAAGCTTGTAGGTGGCGGCATGTCAGTGCAGCAAGCGGGACGCGCAAGGTCATCGTGTGCGTGTTTTTTTGTTATTAGCATCGACCGCGCTAACCGGCTGACCAATGAAAATGCGTCAGTCTCAGTGCGGGTGAAAACAAAGAACCCTTCTAAATGCCATTAACTGGGACCCCGCGAGGGGTCTTGTGTGTGTGTGTGTGTGTCATGAAATTGATTGCTTGGGGGTGATGGTGCCTTGAGGGTGTATTACAGAACGGGCCCGCAATAAAGAGTCGGCAATGCCGGGTCGGGGCTGAACTTCTTCTTTCATCGTCATCGTCGAGCAAAAGGTTTAAAGTGTACTTGGCAGAGCTTAGATTAGGATTTCCTGCTGAGCTGTGTTTCTTAACCCCCCATATTGTTTTGGGAAAACGACACAACAGGGTATACCCTGGTCGAAAAGCGACACGCCTGGGTACACAGTCATTTACAGCAGTAAATGCACTCATATCATTGGTCAGCGCCCAATTTCACCCCGGTGCGTCCGAAAAGGCGCAGGGTATACCCTGCCGTGACTACTTTTCTCAACAACTGTACCTTGTTTTCGGAAATGTACCCTGACCTGACGGGAAATGAGACCCTTTCATCAACCATTTCCCCCGCAGGAATCTTCCCAACCCCTTTTCCCCTCCAACCATGGGATACCAAACGGCGAATCTTCCCGCCCAATAACAACCATGGCAACGGGGCAGGAATCAGTTTCCGCCCCTGCGAAACAACACCAACCATCAACTCTTCCGCTCTAAATCAACAATGGCCGGGCAATACCCCAGCACAATTGTTCCGTTTGGAAACATGCACACACACACGCGTCGCGTACAATACCCCGCGGACTACTGCTTGCTGCAGTCTATATGCGAGATGCACGGGTCACGCTATGAAAGCGAGACCGAGCACCAATTGTCTGTTGTGTCTCAATTGCGATGTGTTTCTTGCTTGAACTACTACTGCTGTAGCAGCAGCGGTCACGCTTACCAGCCAACCAAGCCAAACAATCAATCAATGTAGTAAGAAGACGTCAGGCTTCAGCGGGAACAGCCGATGAAATACAACGCGAGCACTCTTTCTTCTCTCTACCGACAGGGAGGGTGATTGAGTTGGACGACACAGCAGTATCCTGCTGCTAGAGTAAGGATAAGACTCGTGTGTGCGTGATTGATGTCAAGGGCGTGTCTGTGTGTACTGGTCCTGCCTCTCCCCTCCACCCTCTCTGCGGGCGTGAGCTCGCCGCCAGCACAACGCCACACATTGTTGTTGTTGTTGTTGTTGTTGTTGTTGTAGTAGTAGTCTTCACATTAAACTCGTGTCAGTTGCTAGTCCCAAAATCTAGCAAAGGCGCGGTCCGTGGTCACAAAAATGCTAGAGCCTTCAGACGATCTAAAGAACACGCAAACTAGCAAGAAAAGGGTACACAAGCCCGAAGAGGTACACCTACATCCCTGCAGTACGTTTGCGTGCCCAAAACTGAACTACCCGTCCACACACTACATTCGACTACAGCAGCATCCAATCCCCCCTGTCCCACACTTTACCAAAATGAATGTTTGTCGACTACAGCGTACAGCTGTCTGGAGTGCTGCCTGTACAATAATTACACCATGGTAGGCATGGTTCAAGTTCGGGGCGCGCAACTGCTGTCTGAAGTGCTGTCAGAATGCGTCCGTGGACATACAGCGAACAAGAACAACCAACCAAAGCCAGAATTGCAATTGACAATCACCGAATCTACCCCCAATCATCTGTGTTGGACACAGCAGTGTAAAAAATCGACACTGACCAGGAATCGTTCCACATTGAAGAGGTCTTCCACGATGCAGGTACACAATAAAGGCACCCGGGGTATCCGCGCCATCTCTGCCGCGTCTCTCTACAAAACCAGTGACGTCATCACACACACCCAACACCGATGTCCAGGAAAAAAACGGAAAATGTTTGACAACACAAATGTTCGTCGTGCGTTACGGTTCGATGTCGTCCGTGTGCTCCGGTGCCGCTGCTCCGGCGCCGCTGCTCCGGTGTCGCTGCGGCCAGTCCTAACACGACTAAACTCAACCCGCTCCGTCCGTACACGCTCTCGTTGCTGTCCTTCCCAGTCGGTTCCTCGCTTTCTCCTTCGTTGCACTTAGGGTTCTTGGTCTGAAAATTCTCGCGCCGAAGGGTCAACCAGCCCACTCAGCTCGTCACCACCTGTTCCCTCCTCCCCTTTGATGGCGAAGCCAGGTTACTGAGACAGTACAGCTCCCTTCGCCAAACCTAGGGCCGTGTACATAGTGCCCGTCCACCTTTCTGATGGCGTCTGCCTCCGCGCACAAAACTGAGATGGACATTGCTGTCTACACCGACGGCCATGAGGCCCGCGCATCTGCACTTTTGTGCCTGACGCACCAGTGCCGACCCAACTCTACCACCACGCACGCCTCGTGGCGGGTGCGCCGCAGCAAGGAGGTATCGGCCCCTTGAGGGTGAGTCTAGTCATGCTCGCTAGAAAGACCCCCCCCCCTCGCTATGGGCCATGCCTAAGCAAAAGCCTTGCCGAGGCAGCGAGGGGAAGAAGGATCATTGGCACATGCATATGCATGTCAACCATGCTGGATCGGTCTCGCTTTCATAGCATGACCCGTGCATCTCGCATATAGACTGCAGCAAGTATATTGTACACGTGTGTGCATGTTTCCAAACGGAACAATTGTGCTGGGGTATTGCCCGGCCATTGTCGATTTAGAGCGGAAGAGTTGATGGTTGGTGTTGTTTCGCAGGGGCGGAAACTGATTCCTGCCCCGTTGCCATGGCTGTTATTGGGCGGGAAGATTCGCCGTTTGGTATCCCATGGTTGGAGGGGAAAAGGGGTTGGGAAGATTCCTGCGGGGGAAATGGTGGATGAAAGGGTCTCATTTCCCGTCAGGTCAGGGTACATTTCCGAAAACAAGGTACAGTTGTTGAGAAAAGTAGTCACGGCAGGGTATACCCTGCGCCTTTTCGGACGCACCGGGGTGAAATTGGGCGCTGACCAATGATATGAGTGCATTTACTGCTGTAAATGACTGTGTACCCAGGTGTGTCGCTTTTCGACCAGGGCATACCCTGTTGTGTCGTTTTCCCTTTTTGTTTTTCGTAAAAATTTGAGTCCCATTTTCTTGACGGAACTTTCTCGACTGCGGGCCTGTTTCTGTAGCACGCCTGGCCCGAGAACTGCACGGTCTCGGAAAACCGCTTTGGTTTTTGCTGAGCCTAAACGATGGAATAATGCTCTCTTGTCTTTACACACAGGTCCCTCGAGGAGGCGCAAGGGCAGCGTCGGCTCGTCAGCTTCGGCGGCGGCATCGCCCTGTCGGCGGGGTCATCGCAGACAGGGAATACGGCAGGAGGAAGGGGGGGCAGCCAGGACGACGCCTGCGAGATCTCCGGAAGCGAAGAAGACCGCGGCGACTCTGACGGCAGCAGCGGAGGTGCTCACCACACCGACAGCGACGACGATGACGGCGTGTTTATGTCTCCGTTGAAGAAGCAGGTGCGCGCAGGCATAGCCGGCAGGCGCGAAGGCGGTGGAGACGATGTCCCCGCAAAGACGAACAGCACGACGTTGCAGCCGGGCCTCAAGGGCTGCAACCCTCCGCATGGAGGGAGCGAGCAGCCCAAATCTTCCGCGCCCCGGGGAGAGGTGGACACGGCGAGAAACAGACATGGCGTGAGGAGCAGGTCGACCCGTGCTTCCCTGGAAGCTATCGAGCGAATTATCAACGGCGAGGGCTGCGACTTGGACTCTCCGCCGAGAGCGGGCGGCGCCGTCGGTGGGGTGCCAAGTGCTGGTGCTGCCGTTGGGGACGGTGGTGGTGGTGGCGGCGGCGGCGGCAACGACAGCGATGACAGCTGCGAGATCATGTTCACCCGTGTGCGTCCCACCTGATGGCCCCACCTCCTCGTTGCCGTCGAAACAGGGCTCCTTTCGGGAGTGACGAGGGCGGCGGGGGGTCATCCCGCGGTGGGAGGGTATTTCGTCCAACTCCTCGCAGCAGGCGACGCTAGCGACTGGCTAGGCACACTTCGCACATAGTGGCTGTTGATGGCGTGCAGAGCCCCCTGTCCCTAGTGTAGAACACAGATTGCGCTATCACTTAAGAACCTCACTTTTTCGCCGAGGCTCGTTTCTTATTTTATCTATGGGGTACCCCACGGCGAACAGAGCATTTGCTGTCGGGTGTACCAAGATGGGTGTGCGGCGAAAATGACAAAGGAGCTACGGCCTGCTAACAACCTAATAAACACGTGGTATGTAGTCAAACAAATAATCTGCTTCCCATGCCTACCGTTTTTCTTTACGTGTCTCGTGATCAAGCCGCACTACGCACGCACATCCTGAAAACACCAATTTTCTCACCATCTACATCTCCACCGGTAACTTGTACTGCTTTTGCTACGTTCCATCTTAATGACGGTCCATTTTCTGGTACCTTCCCTCGTTGCGGGGCCACTTATATTTTCTTCGGGAGGCGACAGAGCTCACAAAGAACGGCACCGGCAGTGCACAAGAAAATCTGAAGCATTCGTTGCTGTTGTTGTCGTTGTCGTTGTTGTTGTTGATTTTCCCCATGTTCTTGTAACATTCGACTGCTCCCAGCTGACACGGAAGGCTTTCCGTGGCCACGGCCTACAAATACCCCGAAAGGGTACACAGTACGACTAGGTATGCATATTTTGAGAGGAAACCATTAGAACCCAGAAAGCTCGAAACAAAACGCGATACTCTGTATCGTAGGGCAAGAACGAGACTCATCGCAAATGAAAACCTGTCGGGCTCTTTGAAGGGTCTTTCAACGAGATCGATGCACGTGGATTGGCCGACGAACGACAGTTCTGATCGTTCCGTTATACACAAAATGAAAACATATCTCGCCGCGTTTGTGAAACTGTAACTCCCCGACCAAATCTCAATGTAGCACTCGCGCACTCGCACTTCGCGCACTCGCACTCCTTCCTTTCCCCACGCAAGCCTCCGTCCGTTCTCATGAGGTCGTTCCAGAGGTAAGCGAAGTGTGCCGACGAATAAAAATGGATAGCTTGTACACGTAGCAGACACATGTTTCATTTGCACACGATCTACAGTACCACGCACTACAGGCAAGCGTCCTGAGGGTAATTGGTGTATATGCGAAACATCACACAATCTAGCAACCTCTGCAGCTTCTAGGTTCTGTGGCGAAGTGCTAAGAACTACATAGCCCTGAGCTTAGAGGCTCCCACAACTTGTCGGTATGGTAATACTAGCGACACTCCTACGGGTAGAAAACAAAACCACCACGGGTGGGCATAGACTACGTAGACTATGCAGGAACGCACATATACAAGGAGGACCGTATCCGAATAGCACATAGACTATAATCATGTTTTCCACATTGTTTTGGCTTGTTGGCACACGGCCATAAACAACGAAGTCACCATTCACCTTCAGACGCGCTCTATCTGTGTGTGTGTTGTTTTACTTGACAGTATTGGTGTACACCGGTGACACAGAGTATTGGTGCGACTGCAGTTCTGCACGGTCGTCGACAACAACATGGTCCTCCTACCTAGGTAGGCTTGCAGGCAGACAGACTGTATCTTATCCGCCGTTTCCGAAATCTACGTATTACCCATGGGATGGTTGCGAGATTCCAAGCGCACTCTTGTAGAAAGCATGCCGGTCCGTAAGGTAAGGACATGGAGCCGAGTCAATTTCAGAAACACACCTACTGTTCCCGAGATTCAGAAAGGGACGCAAGAAATATCCTTTGACTACAATAGCCTCGGTGCGGTCGGGAGCGAACCGGCACATATTATGTGCCGGTTCGGGAGCAGCAACCTCTCCAGCAGGTTTCGCCGCTGCCTGTCCATTTTTTTATTTTTCTTAATATGACACCACGAAACCATCTCCCATCATAGAAAAGAGTCTGAGACAGATTAGCAATGGATTCATAGCGTCAGAAAAGTACCTGTATGTCTACGATTTCCCAGACAGCATATAGGGACATCTCCCCTGCGGGTAACAGGCTCAACAAGACAGTTTGGTAGTTGTCTTGTGTGTCTCATATATGTTATGTTGGGAAGGTGCAGATGATATGTGTTAGGTACTGATCGGGCGTTTTGTGTGTGGCACCCTTTTAGCCATATGGAATGCAATCTTCCTCGGTTTTCAAACGTATGTTCAATGTGGTACGCGTATGTACCGGGTCCATTTTGTCTTTCACGAAAGGCGAAGTGGTTCTCTCTCTCTCCCTTCCCCCTCCCCCTCGTCTCCCTTCACTGGCTCGCATTGGTCTCACATCACATGTCATACGGCGGTGAAATCGATCTTACCCTGTACTGCCTTCCTCGAAGACCGGGTCGTGTTTAGACATGAGAACAAACAAATCCCCCGACTACGGTATGTATGATGCGTACGGACATGCGTGCACCTCTAGGAACCGCATAGGCGTGATGGCCACCAATTCCAACAGACAGGGCATGACCATTTCCCTAGGCCACCGTTAGACAAGGTGCTCGGATTCGATAGTAGCGTACCCCAGGACAACAACAATGTATAGGACGGTGTAGCGCAGACACCGTGGAAAACAATGCTGAATCGAGGAGCGATTCCAACGGGCGAACATTCTGATGTCCCCCGAGTTTTCCCGCCTTTCTACACTCATAAATGGTCTATACATGTAGGTCGTGATGATAGCCTGAATCGGATCAACAATCTTATCTTTCGACGCCGATCAAGTCAAGTCTTCACGCGAGCAAGTCTTTCCGTATCGAGGATCCGACCGCAACAACCCCGTGGGCTGTTCTTCCAGGACTTGTCCGCTATTGTCCGACAATGATTGTAGCTTCGTTAAGGACGCACTAAATAGGGCACGTCTGTAGTGCCCCATGCTTCGGAGCCAGTTTCGACATGTCATCATAACTCGTTATTTCTGCTCCCCCCTCGGCCAAAAGCAGGCAATTGTACCCTTCGCATCGTGGCCATGGCGTCAAGCTCTTCACACGCGGTGTCAAGTTCTCCAATCCCGGACATCTTATCACCTTCGTGGCGAGAGGAACTTTCCCGCGCACGGTAGGTTAACCGTTTGGGAATCCTAGTATGGTGCAGCACGACAGTTCGTTTTAGGTTCAAGTTAACACGCTGAGACTTCATGTCGCTTGAACAAACGAACACTAGCGCGTTTGCAGCATCATCCATGAAAACAGGTGTAGTCTACATAAATGCGGTCGGCGTTCGATGTTCGCGACGGAATATACCTCGACGAATCCGACAAGGAAAAGCTATGCAATCACTATTGCATTATTATCGTTCTAAACCGGGTCTTAAAGTTCTCCAGACGGCAAGGAAGAAAGCTCTACTTGTTGAGTTTGGGGAGACACTTGAAGAATGGACTGAGGAGTACATTGTCATCTTTTGCAGCAGTCCCGTCCTTCGATCATACAAATGCACGTTGGGGACGATTCTTGCGGCCCCCGTTCGTTGGGGCCGATTTTTGCGGCCCCTTCTTTTTTCATGCCGATGTCGGTAAACAGCTTCATACATCATTTCAGTGTCCACTTGGTCCTTTGCATAGTCTCATTTAGCTCTGCAACGCCCCGTGCCGCCTCTGCTCGGCAAACACGTGTCGATATGGGCACTGTCGTAACCTTAGGGTGCGGGCCTACAGGCCCCTACTCCTCTCCTTCCCGGTTCCAACACACCTTCTTGAATCTGGGCAGAAAGGACACCATCTCGCCCTCACCCTCGAACCATTCCTCCATTCCACCTCTACGGCGGATGCCTCAGTGAAAAGCCTTCTCCACCCCGCGCCTCGGTCCTCATCACTAACTTGGCCGCTCCAAAGCCTCGCGCAGTGCTGCCGGTTGCTTGTGTAGCTTGGTCTGGCTGGCTTTCTCTATTCAACCCTTCCTGTGCCTTCTTTTTCCCGCCTTCGTCTCATCATCCCGCCTCTCGTAGACCATCGTCCTCCCTACACAATGACCGATATTGTCCCGTCGCCCCGGGGCAAGTGACTGGTGTCTCACCACAATGCCGCGTCGTGTTCGACTCTTCCGTCGTCCGACGTTGCGGTCCCACCTGCTGGTACAGCTTGTTTGCTGACGATCGGCACTACGACGGTGTCTCCCGTATTCTTTTCTCCTGATTTCTCGCGTTCTTGGCCCAACTCCGTTCAGTTTCATTGCGATTCTGCCGGGTCTTCACTCGCTGCTCGCCAGGTGCATCAACTTGGACATTTACGTATGCACTACCTTGTGATCTCCTGGTCATCTCCAAAAAACATTGATTTCCTTTGATATTATTTCTCAGCAAGGCACGTAGGTCCGGGACCATGACGTTTTCGTCAAACTTCTACCTCTGGCGCGCTAACGTGCCTCTCCTGCAACGTCCGAGCTTCCAGGGGTTTGTATCCGCCGTGGCTGCCCCGGCCCTCAGCTTCACGCTCGTCGGCTGCTTGAATACAGAATTGAAGATGGTACTAGCTTGGTGCAATCAAAGCGTGCGCAGATTGGTAGTACCAATTGTCTCGGCAACAAAAAACAGATCAATCATTGCCGTCGGTTGTGCATATATTATTCGCACATGTTCAAACATTACTAAATTCGATGGTGTTAAACCGTCCTCGAATCGCTATTACTTGCTGTTATTGAAAACGACGAAACGCCTACTGCTGTGCTGTCGTTCAGCACGAACATGAGCACCGCCGTGGCCCTTGGGTGCAAGCCTATTGGCTCCTACTCGCTTCCTTCTCACCCCCGACGCGGGTGATGCTTCTACGCTTCTGCGGAGAGAATGAAGGTCAACTCGCCCTCACCTCCGAACTTGCGCTCCTTCGCACTTCCCTGCTGTGCCTCCATGCTTCAGCGACGCCTCCTCAACCCCGCCCTAACTCGAAACCATCACCAACC